AGACCCTAAGCTTGGACAATACGATGACAATCTGGATCCTAACGCCATGACTTTACCATCCGAACCCGCACCCCAACACCCTGACCGTAAACACTATCCCCAAGGATACACATCGAACGCCGGATTCTTAACACGCCAACCCTAACAATACATAGCTCCAACTTCAACACCGTGACCCGAATATCCGAACACACACACACACACCAACGCCCGAACCCCAAGTCCTACCCTAGCACTGACACCTTAACACGAACATAATTCTGAACGCCCTAACCAGCCCAAGCGCCCGAATCTAAAACGTAACATCCTAATCATAGCACCCTGGCCCAAACCGAGCCACCCTAGTTCTAATGCCTAGTCCTCGCGCCCAAAACCTCACGCCCTAACCCGAATCCTGCACCCTCAACATCATTCCACGGACTCGAACCTTGACACACGTTCCTCCTAGCGCGTTACCCTGCACCGCCGATGCTAACCCTGCCGCCCCAATCCGAAGCCCTGCGATCGAAGCGCATCGCCCGATCCACGACGCTACCGCCCTCCCGCCCTGACCCTCCCCATCCCTTTTGCTAGCCCTCCCTCGTCATCTCCTCTCTCCTCAATTTCTCCTCGCCGTCCCTCATCCTCGCCTCGTTGCCCCATCATCCTCGTCTGCCGCCTTCCCAACCTGATCATCCCCGCGCCCTCCTCCCCATCCTCTCTCACATTCCTCGTCGTCGCTCCTCGTCCTTCTCCTCCTCATGACGCCGCCCCCTTGCCTCCTCATCCACTTCTCCTCCCTTCCCCGAGACCCATTTTCGCCTTTTGATGCTGGTGCTGTTCCTCCTCGTGCTTCCCCTCCTTCCCCTTCTTCTCCTCCTCCTCCTCCGTTCCCTCCTCTGCCTTCTCCAACCCTGCCCGCCCTCGTCCTCCGCTTCCTCTTTCACGCGTTCCGTGCGCGACGCGCCCGAGCGCTCTCTAATTCGGGGAAGTTCTCACTGAGCCTGTCTATGCCCCTGTTAAAAAATGCCAGAACCACCGAACTAGGACGGCCGCTCGTTTTCAAACGTCCACGTGCTACTGCCCCATCCTGCCAATCGCGTTCGCCCACCTCCTCTGCCCCTCGCCCCTTCCTCCCGCGGCGCAGGCCGCCGCGAGCATCATGCGCGCCGCGATCGCCACAGATCTGAATCGCAGTACCCTGCCAGCTCCGCCATTGCCCTGACACTCTAAGCCCTGGGCGGGAAGAGAACAGCGCGGCCCCTCCGACACTGCAACCGAGAAGCGGTCGGCGTACGACGGGCCAAGGCCAAGAATCGCACTGCGCGAACCCGCCACGCGTGCCATGCGCACCATGCGCGCTCAAGTTGCATGCTTCTGGCTTCTCGGGGGCATTTCTAAAGAGCCTCCTGGCCACGTCCAGCCGTCGTTGGGCCCCGTCCTGGAGCATTGTGGACGCATGCTGGGGCAATTCTGGGTGTCTTTGGGCCGTTTGGGGGTCGTTTTGGTGGGCCCCTTGGCTGGCCCTCGAGGACGGCTTGGGCGTCTCCGAGAGCCGCCTTGGGGCCGTTTTGGGCTGTCTGGGGTCCCACAATGGCTCTTGAGAAGTCCGCATGCCGCACCGTAAGGGCCCTCATGGGCCGCCTAGAGCCGCTCTTTGGGCGCGGCCCTTCTTGGAGCCCTCTTGAGTCCTTTCTGGTCCGCGTTGGGGTGATCTTGAAAACCGTTCGGGCCATCTTGGAAGCTCTCCCAGCCGAACAGACGAAGATACAGCAATCACACATGAACGACACGAAAACTTGCGAATTCTGGCAATCGGAGGCCTCTCAGGGGTCATTTCTCGCCCAGTCTTGGGAGTCTCTTGGGCCGTCTTCGAAGCGTCTCCGCTGTCCCTGGGCGCTCTGGGTTCGGCTGGAGCGTCAACTAGGGCCGCCCTGGTGCTGTTTGAAGCCAGCTGGGTGCTACGTTAGCCGCCAGGCTTCAACCGGACCCCCGAGGCGAAAGAGGGTACCTGGGGGACCGTCGCCGCAGTGCGAGATCTTGGGGCCCTCTGGGGCCGTCCTGGTCCCACTGGGCAAACTTGGGGGCCTCTTGGGCTGCTTCGGGGCGGGCTGGGGGCCCTGAGGTGGGATGGCTTGGGGCCCTCCTGGGCCGTCTGGAGCCCCTCTGAGGACCCTCGTGGAGCGTGCTGGGGCTGTCTTGGGCCCCTCTTGGGCCGTCCTGGTCTTGTCTTGGGGCCCTCCTGGGTGCCTACCGGGCCACCTTGGAGCGATCTCGGGGGCCTCTTCAGCCGTCTCGAGCGCTCTGGAGACCGAGAAGGCGATAATGCGAAAATGGCACCAGACCCTCAGGAAAACCAAGAATGTTTGCCCTTGGGGGCCTCTTGGGAGTCGTCTTCAGGACCCCCTGGGCCATCTGAGGAGCCCGTTGGGCCGTCGAGTGGGCATCCTGTGTTCATCGTGGCCGTCTTGGCGCGCTAGTCGGGCCCTCCTGAGGCATCCTGGGGCCCTACGGGGCCGTCTTGGGGCCATCTGGGGCCGTCGTGGGCCCTCCTTGAACGCTCGCGAATCAGCCTTCACGGCCGCGCCCGAAGTTGTCCCGAATCGCCTTCCGATGCGTATAGGTATTCGTTGTATTAATACAACTAGACGTGTCTAGACACTAGTTGTATACATACGCATACATACATACGTACACACATACACACATACATACGTACATATATACATGCATACATACATACATACATACATACATACAGACATACATACATACATACATACATACATGCATGCATGCATGCATGCATACACACATACATACATACATGCATACATATACATACATACATACATACATACATACATACATACATACACACACACATACATACATACATACATACATGCAGACATACAGACAGACAGACAGGCAGGCATACGGACATACATACATACACACGCATGCATACACACATGCATGCACGCATATACACATGTATACATACATACATACATGCATACATACATACATACATGCATGCATACATACATACACACATACATGCATACAAACATACTACATACATACATAGATACATGCATACATACATGCATACATACATGCATGCATGCATGCACACTTACATACATACATATATACATGCATGCATGCACACATGCATATATACATACATACATACATACATACATACATACAGACAGACAGACAGACAGACAGACAGACAGGCAGACAGACACATACACGAATACATGCCTACCTACATACCTACATACATACCTACACACATATATATATATGTGCACGCATTCATGCATACATGCATGCATACACACATACATACATACAAACATACATACAAACATACATAACTACATGCATACATACATACCTACATGCAAACATACATATATGAAAACATGCAAACATACATGCATACGTACGTACGTACGTACACACATACATACATGCATGCATGCATACATACATACATGCGGTGGGGGCAGTGGATAAGGAACCCTTAGATAAGGAATCCGGGGTCTGGAGGCCGGTGGAACTCAAATTGAGGCTCGGCCATGGATATCACCGCCACCCTCATCAGATAAGGGATCCTCAAGGGTCTGACGCCCCACAGACACATTCCTTAACCAACGCCCCCACCGTACATCCACCCATCCATCCATCCATCCATCCACCCATACATGCATGCATGCATAAATACATACATACATACATACATACATACATACATACATACATACTCCTACCTACCTACCTACCTACCTACCTACCTACCTACCTACCTACCTACCTACCTACATACATACATACATACATACATACATACATACATACATACATACATACATTACATACGTACGCACATACACACATACATACATGTGCGCATGCATGCATGCATGTATACATGCACGCAACTATATTTACATATGCACATGTGTACACACAAACATCAACTTTCGGAGGTCCGCGCAGGCTTCCTCGAATCGGCGCTGGCCTCCCATGGCGGCGCCTGAGAGCGCCGCCCCTGGCGCGCCCCGCGCGCCAGGGATGGGGGGCGCAGCGCCGATGCAAGAAAGCCGCACGGCCCTCCGAATGTTAAAGTTTATGTGCTTATGTGTTTCCTGAACGCTGGGGGGGAGCCAGGAGCCCGCCTTTACTAGTGAGCGCGCCCGTGACCAGCCCTACCCCACCCTCGTCCATCCCTGGTCACGTCACGTCCCTCGGCGCCGTCTGGGAACCGAGACGTGGCCAATGCGCCTCCCCTCTCCCCTGGGCACGCCCGTGATCGCCAGGGGCTTACGAGAAACTGTCGCCAGCTCAGGAAGGGAAACCAGCGACCTCAAATCTGATATGCGTCGCCGATAGAGCGGCGGCATAAGCCCCCGACAGCGAATCTGCACGCTTCCGGGCGGGGCGGGCTGGCGGGCCCTATCGGCGATGACTGGGCAATGGGGGGTAGATGCGGCGTCCCCTTAAGCCCATCCCCCCCTAACGACGTTGCCCCGTGGCTTTCGGGTCATGACTCCGCCCTCCAGCGGCTGTTCGGGGCGATCAGGGAACCCCTGGAAAACCCTCGACGAAGCGCAGCTACTGGAAAGCATCCCGAGGCGAGAAAATCTCTGAGAGCGATCTGAGCATCGTTTATCCGACCCCCATCGCCAGCGGCGTGGCCTGGGTTCCACTGGCCGATTTACCCCCCTAGGTGGGGATATAGGCCGTTCCCTGCGGGCTTCGAGGGATGTATCCCCAACTGGGGTGGTAATGTGGTGGGGGTCTCGAAAGGGGATGAGGGTGGGGATGGGGGTCGGTGAAACGACACTGACACTCGGAACCTTCCTCCCTCTCTGCCCTCTTCGACGACGAGAACGCCCCCCCCTTCGCAGCACCTGGCTCGTGGCGAGGGTCGGACATCCCCCGCTAACGACGCTGCTCCCGAGCACCCCCGCCGCCAGCGGGCGGCAAGCCGGGGCGCCCGCCCACGACGGTGAACATGATGACGCCGAGCCTCCGCCAGAGGCGGGCGGCAGCGCGGCGGCACCGATGGGGCCCGGAGCGGCTCCTCCCTCGCGCGCATCTGTCTGCCTGCCTGCCTGCCTGTCTGCCTGCCTGCCTGCCTGCCTGCCTGCCTGCCTGCCTGCCTGCCTGCCTGCCTGCCTGTCTGTCTGTCTGTCTGTCTGTCTGTCTCTGTTGGTCTGTCGGTCCGTCGGTTGTCTGTCCGTCTCTCTCTCTTTTGCTGTTTCTCTCGCGTGGCGGCACCGCCCCATATCGGCACACCCCTCACACGCTCCGTGGCCCCATGGAGAGCTCCACCAAAGGCCCCAACAGCAGGGTTCGCATGGCGGCCCCGCCCCATGTCGGCACACCCCTCACGCGGTTCGTGGCCCTCATAGGGAGCTCCGAGGCCGAAGATTGCCCGAGCATCCGCCGTGATCAGCCACGACGCAAGCAGGTTCGGCTTCTGAAGCAGCCCACATCGGCGGGGGGGGCCTCACCTCTCCGCGCAACCAAAGGGCAAGACAGGACAGGGCAGGACACGCCGGCGCCTAGGCACTATCTAGGGCGCTGCGGGTGCGGCGCCGGGGCGCCCGAAGATAACATGCAGTCGCGCAGCGTGCTCACAGGTGGTGCGGCGTGGACTCTGATCCGAGACCGTGCCAAGCATCCGTTGATGCGACATTGAGGGCAGCTGTGATGCTCGCGTCGTCACGTCTTACACAAGGGCTCCCAACTTCGCGCTCCGCGCTCCGCGAAGCGCGAATAACTTCACGCTCTCGCGCCGCCACCCCAAAGGGAGGAGGACGAGGAGGAGGGGGAGAAGGAACGAGGACCGCGCAGCGCGAAGCGCGAATAACTTCGCGCCCTCGAGGGCGCCCTTGTTATATTGTATTATCGATGCTGTCCTCGTGCATCACCAACCCGTCTGGCTTGGGGCCCTCGCGTCCTGCGCCTCGAAACAGGGGGGCAATCGAGTTGAGTCGGGCCTGTCCCCCTACAGGGGGATTTTCGACGAAAAATGAAAAATACACAAAACATAATCAAACAATAGTTCACATATAGTCTGGGGACTAGTTGTTGATTATTGTTTGACCTTCTTGGAGCATTTTTGGGGTATTTTTTTTTTTCATCGAAAATTCCCCTGTAGGGGGACACGCCCGACATAAAACGACGGCGACCCTGTTCGGGCGGCGACCCTGGGGGGGCAGTGAGCAGGGAGGGCCTCCTCGGAAGGCTCGAAAAAAGCCTCGGGCCTGCCGAATTTTGGAGGCCTCTCTGGCCAGGGCGTCTCGGAAAAGGTTGCGAGAACGTGTCAAGTGGGAGCCGTTATCGTCGCAGGTGGGGCTTCAACAACTGGCATTTGACAACAAGCCCGCGCTCGAGCGGGAGCCTTAATCCAATAGCCCTTATAACTGCGACGAGGCGACGATCGAAAGCAGTGCCCCGGCACTGCTTTGAACGCGTTCAAAGCAGTGCCCCGGCACTGCTTTGAACGTATGATATGATGATATGATGATGATTATGATTGATGATGATGATGATTTTTCCAGCGTACACTGTCCGCAACTGCGGCAATCAACATCATGTTCCACTTGCCCGCAACTGCGGCCATCACCAACGCTGCCCCTCGAAGCTCCACGGAGGGCGCTCGGCAGGTCGCCCGCTCGAGCCCCACTCGACTTCACGCTGAGGAGGCGAGCCCTCAGGGGCATTGTCCGCAACTGCGGCATGATCAGAGGGCCACCACTGCGCGCCATCAGCGCCCCATTCGCTCGAGCTCCAGTCCCACCAGGACCAGCCCTGCCATCTCGTGGCGGGACTGCGCGCCTCCCATGCGCCGCTGCCGCTGGCGTCCCAGGACCCAGCCGCCACTGCGGCACAAGAAGGGGTCGCATCGTCGCCGTTGGCAGCTTGCGGCGGTGGCGTGTTCCCAGCTCGCTCAGCCCCAGCGTCTCTCCCCGCAACTGCGGTTCCCATCTGGGGTCGGACGCCCTTCCCCGCAACTGCGGTGTCCGCGTAGCTGCCCTTCTTGCCGCCCTTCTTGCCGCCCTTCCTGCCGCCCTTCCTGCGTTCCAACCTCGCGGCGAGTCTTTCAGGTGACCTGCGGCACGTATTGTGCGTGAAAGCCACCAGAGGGAAGTGCGCTCCGTGCCTCGCCCTGCCGAAGGCGCCATGCCATATCTTGTCGTCGAGGTTGCCCTGCTTCACTCTGAAGGGATGGCGCACCCAATCGTCGCGTTCCCTGCGCGCCATCCTTTGCTCGAACTCCGCAACTGCGGTCAAGGATTCGCCAGATGGCGTCAGGAAGGCGCGCATCTTGTTTTCAACGGGCTCAGCCTTGGGCACGTAAGTCTGAAGCATCTTCCCAGGGCCATTCGTGTAGTCGAAGACAGGGAAAGACGGATCATGCTGGGTCGTCAAGAATCCGCCCTCACGGTCGTGCAGAACACTCAGGCCATGGTGAAGCTTGTACTGCCCAGGACAGTTTATGAACAAAATCGCCATGCTGTCTGCCCTGGGCTGGCCGCCTGCTGTCTTCCAGGGGGTCCACGCGGCGACGTCCACAGTCAGGCCGCAATTGCGGCACCAGGACACAAGCTGGAACATGCACATGTTGAAGTCCCCCATGCAGACCTTCACGTCCCATTCCCTGACGTAGGCGACGAACCAGTTGTAGAACTCATGGAGCTTCGTGACGCCCCAGTCTTGGTTGGCCAAGCTGTGGTGGACGTGCACCGCCATGACGTTGAAGGAGCCCCCCAAATGGGTCACGGCCTGGTCCAGGTGGACGCGCACCACCATCGCCCTGGAGTACTTGTTGTGCAGCTTTGGCGCAGGAGCCTCCGCAACTGCGGACTGTTTCTTCTTCTTCTTCGTTTTGGACTTCTCCTGCTTGTGGAAGAGTCTCGCAAAGTCTACGTGTTCAATGTGGCCGCCACTGCGGTCCCTCATGCCAACAAGGAGGGTCCCTGATGGCTCGCCGCCCTTAACGCACAGGTAGTTGTATTGAGTCCGACTCCGAAACCTATCGTCCGCAACTGCGGCTGCACTGTCCCTCGCGTCGTGCTCCCCACTGAGTACCGCGCAGGTCTCGTCGTCGCACTCGCAGAGGGCGATGATCTGGGCAGGGTTCGCGCGGAGCTGCGCCCACTCGTCCGCGCGTTGCGTGGGTCTAGCTGCAGTCCCTCCGAAGTTGGCCACGTAGAAGCCGACCCGTCCCGCTTCGAACTCCGTTTTCTCCTCCCATGCGTCGACAAGAGCTCTTTGTTTTTCCGACAGATTGCTTGTCTCGATGATGGGCACCCGTTTCCAGGGTCTCCGCGACGACAACACTCTCGGCATGTAGGAGTCATGTGCTGCCGCAACTGCGGCTCCCGCACCTCCCCGGGACTCAGCCTCGTCAGCGGAGGCAGCCGAGGACGCGACGGTGCTGTCGCCATCTTGCGTCCGCTGGTCGTCGTCATCATCCGCAACTGCGGCTTCCTCGTCTTTGCCTCCCTCCTCCTCCTCAGCGTTGTGGATGAACACCGTTCTGGCGAATCGAGGTCCACGGTCCATACTCCCTGAGGATGCGCTCGGGCGCGCGGGCGGCCACATGCTTGCGTCTTCGCGTGCGCCACCTCGAGCCACGGTGGCTACGGAAATGGATCGTGAATGGGCATGGGGTCGGATGGAGGGAGGAGACAAAGAGGATTCGAGGAGTGGCAGAAGGAGGGCGAGGACTCAAAGGAACCGAAAGAACAACAAATGGACTGGCGGAGAAGCAGAAGGAGGGCGACGATTGCAAGGGACTGTGAAAGGATTATTTTCACAGCAGCAGGAAGACCGCAACTGCGGTTTTGCCTCATCTCCTGCCCGCGCGGGAGCCGCTTGGAAAAACAACTTCCCTCTGGACTTCCTGTGGGTCCGCAACTGCGGCCTGCATCACGCTAGGGCTGGGATTACCAGCGCCATTTGCCCTCCCAGGGTTCTCACTGTTTCCGAATGCACGAACTGCGACAGCGCCGAACGGTTCCCAGACGCCGCGTCGTTCGCGACTTTTTGCAGCCACCCAGCAAACGTGAGCGGCCATTGCTCCTTGTGCTGCTTGCACATCTCCTCGTCCCAATGCGTCTTGAACCATGCCCACTCCCCCCTCTGCTCGTCTGAGAGGACGCCTTTTCCGCGAGCCAGGCGATCCAGAGCTGCCATCCTGTTTTTCTTGATCTTGAACTCCTCGGGATTCCACTGCGCTAGGGCGTGTTTGTTAGCCAAAGCCGTTTCCACCGCAACTGCGGCCTCCTTCTTTGCCCTCAAGGCGGCCTCGGCCTCTCGAATCTGCTTCTTGAGATCGTGCAACGCCTTCGTCCTGTCGTTCGCTTCCAGAGCCAGGCGCCGCTTTTTCGCCACCACTGCGGCTTCGTGGTCTCGCTGGGCAGTCAACGCTCGTAGGACCTCGTTGTCCTCCCGCGCCAGCTCTCTCAACCGCTTCTTTTGTTTGTGTCGTTGCTGTCGGCAATCCTGCGCTAGTTTCTCCATGCCCACTTGGCGCAGCATATCTTCCGCCTCGCGGAGCGTTTCTGCCAAGGACGTCGCCACTGCCACCTGCTCGGCCGCCTCTGCGTCGACCACGCAGTCCATGGATACCGAGGATCCTTGAGGCCCAGGTGCCGCAACTGCGGCATCGCACTGTTCCGCAAGAGCCTCGGCCCACGAGGCCTCCTCTTGCTCTTCGTCCTCCTCGTGCTCCTCGTGCACCTCCTCCTCCTCCTCCTCCCCGCCCTCCTCATCGCCCTCCTCGTGGCCTGGCTCCTGGCCTAGCGCTTCGTCGCCGAGCTTCTCCAACACGGAATCTGTGGCGTCGTGTTTCTCGTATTCGTGTATGAGACGCAGCACGTCATTGTAGGACCATTTCAAACGTTTCTGCTCGCATTCTTCCCTCACCTCCGCGACTGCGGTGTCCACTTTTGCTCGCAGCCCCCCTGCTTCCCAGAGTTCCGCCGCCTCTCGGCAAATCTCGAGATCTCCTGA